TTCCATTGCCATCCTTACTCTAACTTAATTATTTTTTTAAATTTAAATTTGTTATTAATTTCAGTGAAAATTTACAGAGGCTTTGGATTTCCATTCATTCATTGTTGTAGATTCCCTCATCTATTTCAATGAAATGTTCATTATTTACCTCCTTTTTTTCTTAGTGTTCCCCCAACCCCCACATCAGTCCTGTTTTATAACAGTGGCATGATGCAGTATTTGTCCTTTTGTGATGGAGATGTTTCACTCAGCATCATGTCCTCCAGGGTCACTCACTTTGTATAATATTTTATGAGATCCTTGTTGTTTAGTGTTCCATAATATTCCGTTGTGTGGATACACCACAGCTTCTCTATCCATTCGTTTGTTGACGGGCACTTGGGCTGCTTTCATCTCTTTGCTATTGTGAACAATGCAGCAACAAACATGAGTGTGCATATATTGCTTGGTGACAGTTCTGGTTTCTGTAGGGTACTGCCCATCACTCTTCTACCCTGCCACAGCCCAGTGCTTGTGTCCTTTCACCTTTATTGCTTGCAGGCTGAGGTTAGGAGGAACAAGAAGAAGGAAACTAAGCTGTAGAAACCTGATGGTAAAATCCAATGTGGTCCCAAGGTGTCCAGCCCCAGCGCCCCTCTAGAGAATTGTCTTGTGGACCTTACTGATTTAGGCATCAGAGGTGAGCTACTTAGAAGTGGCATAATAATAGATGTGGTGTTCCAATCCTAAATCTAGCCTGCCTTCCTTTTTTGGTGCAAATTGCAGACATGCTGAGTATTTGTTCTGAGCCTCAGTTTAAAATCAAGGGAAGCACAGCAGATGTGTGCTTCTTCCAGCTGCCTGACTGTTGTTATTGTTGGTATGTGCCGTTGGGCTGACCAAGAGTTGTAGCGACCAAGTGAACAACAGATCTGAATCTTACCCTGCCTTACCTTATCAGCCACCCTCACCATCTAGCTGATGTTGTTGTTAGGTGCTGTCGAATTGAGTCGGCTCAGAGCGACCCTATGAACAACACATCTGAACCCTGTCCTATCCTGCACCATCCTCACACTTCCTGACACATTAAAGCCCATTGGGGCAGTCACCGAGTCAGTCCACCTGGTCGAGGGGCTTCCTCTCCTTCGCTGACCCTCCACCCTTCTCTGCATCATGTCCCTCTCCAAGGAATAGCACCTCCTACTGTTGTTGTTGTTGTTATGTGCCGTCGAGTCGCTTGCGACTCACAGCGACCCTATGTACAACAGCCCTAAACTCCGCTCTGTCCTGTGCCAATCGCACTGTCTCTGACACTCCCATCCCGATTACCCCAGTCACTGAATCAATCCACCTCATAGAGGGCCTTCCCCTCCTGCGCTGCCCCTCCTCCCTCCCAAGCATGATGTCCTTCTCCAACATGTCTCTCCTCACAACATGTCCAAAGTATGTCAGATGAAGCCCCAGAATCCTTGCCTCCAAGGAGCCACCCTGTTTAACCCTTTCCAGGACGAATCTGTTTGTTTTCCTAGCAGTTCATGGTATTCTCAATACTCTTCTCCAGCACCACAGCTCAAAGGCATCAATTTTCCTTCTATCCTCCTTGGTCATTGTCCAACTCTCTGATGCATAACAAGTGATTGTGAAGACCATGGCCTGTATCAGACCCACCTTAGGGTACAGAGAGACACCACTGCTCTTCAGTACTTTGGAGAGGTCCCTAACAGCAGACTTTCCCATTGCAATGCGCCTTTTAATTTCCTGGCTGCTGGTGCCAAGAGTGTTGACTGTGGAGCCAAGCAAACTAAAGCACCTCCTACTAGAATGCCCAAAACAAGTGAGGCAAAGCTTCATCATTCTTGCCTCCAAAGAGCACTCCAACTGCACCCTCTCCAAGACATATCTGTTCATTCTCTTGGCCGACCATGGGATGTTCAGTACTCTTCTCCAACACCACAGCTCAAAGGCAGCAATTCTTCTGTCATCCTTATTCACTGACCAGCTCTCCGGTGCATGGCAAATGACCAGAAAGACTGTGGCCTCAATCAGATGCACCTTAGTCCTCAAACTGACATTATTACTCTTCAATAATTTGGAGAGGTCCCTAACTGCAGACTGTCCCAGTGTAATGCCAGAAAAGAAGAGAGATTTTTCTGACTGATGAGGAATATTTAAAAACTACGTCCTTCATCAGACCTCCTATATCAGGAATGAATTTCTCCATCTGGACAAGATGTATTTATTAGGCATATAGCACGTGGCTAGCACTGTTCTGAGCAGAGGGTGACAGCAGCAAAGACACACACGTCTGCTGTTCTCCCTGAGAGAGAAAGACAAACACAGAAAGAAAGAGTCAGACACCTCCCAACGGTCATAAGGGTCAGAGAGGGCCCAAATGGGGTGATGTGGGAGTGACTGGGGTAGAGGATGATTTTAGCAAAGGTGGGCAGGAGAGGCTTCTTGACGGAGCAGTAAGAATAAAGGCAAAGAGGCAACAAAACACATGCTGTGCTTGAGACGTGGAAAGAAGGTCCGGGTGGTGGAGCGCGATGGCGTCAGTGAGGAGGGGCCTGGGGCAGAGGAAGCGGCTCTGTTGGTCTGGCTGAAGAGGCGGATTTTACTCTAAAGGTCTCGGGCACTGGACGCTTTGAAGCAATTGTTGTTGTTGTTAGGTGCAGTGAAGTCAAGTACAACGCCTCGTGACTCTACAAAGAACAGATCCGAACCCGGTCCTATCCCGTGCCATCGTCATCATCTCTGGAGCACTCCAGCCCCGGCTGCAGTCAACTGCAATCTTGTTGAGGACCTTCCTCTCTTTCGCTGATTCCCTTACCTTTCCAAGTATGATGCCCTTCTCCAAGGACTAGCCTTGCTTAGCAACATGTCCAGAGTGTGTGAGATGAACCTTTGCTGTCCTTGACTCCAGGGAGCACGTGCTCCAAGACAGACTTGTTTGTTTTCTTGGCAGTGCAGGGGATATTTAGTTCTCCTCTCTAAAGCCACAGCTCAAAGACATCGATTCTTCTTCTGTTGTCCTTACACACTGACCAGCTTCCCGTTTTCTAGACATTGTGTGTATGACATTTGACAGTCCGGAACAATCTGTAACAAGATATACATTACAAAGTGAATTTGGGGAAAGGAGAGGGAAGATAAGGTATGCCGATGAATGAAATCCTATCCTTCCTGTAACTTTCACGAAAATCACAATTAAACAAACAAACCCCAAAAGGCCATCACTTGGATCAGGTGCACCTTACTCTTTGAATGGACATCCTTGCTCTTTAGAGGTTTGGAGGGTCCTTAAGAGCAGATTTTTTCCTTAAGTACCACGCCTTTTGATTTCTTTTTTTCTTTTTTAATTTTATTATTATTTTTGTGTCCATGTACAGTCAAATCAGATTCAACTGGTACAAGAAGAGATTGCTTGCTCCTTCTCCAGCAAAGCATCTGGTGGATTCAAACCGAGTGCCCTCAGATTTGCAGTGCAGCTTCTTGCCACTAGACCACCAGAGCTCCCTACATCTTTTTATTTCTTGACTACTAGTACCAAGGTGTACAAGTTGCTGTACAGCGGTAACTTGTGGTTGCTGTGAGGCTGAACACTGTGACACTGATATGTCAAATGTGTTAATGGCTGGTTACCCAGTGCTGACAGAGTGGGGTGGAGCTCCCCAATGAAAACAAGCGTGGAAGGAGGAGTGGCATCCACTTCCATAATCGCTTGCCTCCGGAAACCCTATGAACCTGGAGAGAGGATGAAAGGCACTCAAGTGTCAAGGACTCTCCTTCATAGGGTCACTATGAGTTGCCTGCGACTCCACAGCACTTAACAACAATAATATCAACAGACAGAGATGAGCTAGCCCAATGGACAGAAAATGATGCTACCAAGCCAAAGGGGGGTGACTTTTAATCCGCGGCCCTTGGGCCTGTCTTTCATTGTTTTTGTTCAGACTTTCCTCTAGGTCGTATAGCCTTGGTGTGTCCACTTGCCATACAGCGGTCACTTGTGGTTGCTGTGAGGCTGAACACTGTGACACTGATGTGTCAAATGTGTTAATGGTCGGTTACCCAATGCGGACAGAGAGTAGG